TACAGTTGTGTGAAAAAGTGTTGGCCCCCTTCCTGATTTTTCATTGTTTTGCACGTTTGTCACACTTTAATGTTTCAGATCATCAAACAAATTTAAATATTAGTCAAAGATAACACAAGTAAACACAACATGCAGTTTTTAAAGGAAGGTTTTTATTATTAAGGGAAAACAAAATCCAAACCCACATGGCCCTGTGTGAAAAAGTGTTTGCCACCCCCCCTGTTAAAACATAACCTAACTCTGGTTTATCACGCCTGAGTTCAATTTCTCTAGCCACACCCAGGCCTGATTACTGCCACACCTGTTCGCAATCAAGAAATCACTTAAATAACACTTGACTGACAAAGTGAAGTAGACCAAAAGATCCTCAAAAGCTACACATCATGCCGAGATCCAAAGAAATCCAGGAACAAATGAGAAAGAAAGTAATTGAGATCTATCAGTCTGGAAAAGGTTATAAAGCCATTTCTAAAGCTTCGGGACTCCAGTCGAACTGAAGGGCTGCTGTATGGGCTATTCACAATAGCCCGTACAGCAGCCCAAAGGCGGCCGAGCAGCTCAGCCGAGCCAAAGGCATATGCTTCGTCTCCACTGAGCCGAAGTGACAGCCTAAGCGGGGCGCACGGCCTGCCAAAGGGCCGGCCCTAAGCCCTGCAAATGACAGCTGAAGGGAGCCAGCCGTGATCTCACGGCTGGGCGCAGCCAACCGTGATCTCATGGCTTGCTCCGCCCAATTGTAATGACAGATCAGCGTCCCCAAATTACCTGGGTATGCTGATCCGTCATTGAACAATGACTGCGCAGAGTCGGCCGTGATGTCACGGCCTGCTCCGCCCAGTTGTTATTCATTGGCCAATAGGAAACAGTTGCTGTCCCTTTTTTTTTTTTTTCTTTTTTAGAAAATCTTTATTTTTATAATTTTACAATTTATTTATATTTTCAACTTTCAATATATTTTCAACTTTTTTTTTTTTTTAATCTTTTTTTATTGATTTTCTATTCTGCTCGGAAACCACAGAGGTACTGAACAGAATAGCCGAGCGGCATTCGGCTAATCACTCACTGCCTATGAGAATATGGGCGAACGGCAGAAAGTGAGCTGCGGGAGCTTCAGCTCAGCCGATGCAGATGTTGGATCGGCTGACTCGAAGTCCTTCTGCACTTTGGCTCAGCTGAACATGCAGAGCATGTTTGGCTGACCGAAGTACAGCCGATGTATTACTGAAATCAGCCGTACAAGCCAGAAGTGAATAGCCGAACAGCGTTTGGCTCACTTCACTTCGGGTGGGTCATTCACTCGGCTGCCTTTGGCAGCTTTGTGAATACCCCCTTAGTCTATGTGCATGTTTACAATTTGTGGTTCTCATCTACTTTTGAAATGTTATTTCTTAATCTAAAAACATGAATTCATAACATGAAGTTATTTTATTGTGCTTCTAGATAAAAACCAGAGACAAGTACATTAACAGTCTAAGAAAGAAATGTCAAAAAGAAAATGAGATTAATCGGGAGAAGCAAAGGCGGATTGAAACGCTAGAAAAATATGTTGCTGATCTGCCTACACTTGAGGATGTACAGAGGCAGGGTGAAAGGGTAAGTTCCAATAGCTCCTTACTTCCCTTTCTCCATGATTCTAAATGACTGTTTGTAGTTAAATCTGATCTAAACAAAATAGTACTATATTGCAGCTTGCCAATCCTTAAATGTGGTGGCTGCATTAGTTTTCTTCTTTTTTAACCTGGTGATTCGGCTAGTAACATACTGCCTTACTTAGGCCTCATTCATATGGGTGGCAAGGGGGGTGGTAAAAACGGGTGGTTGATCTGCTTTTACCACCATGGACCACGGTAAAGCCTGCCGCCTGTCTGAATGAGGTCTTAGGATGTCTTCACTGTGAAGAGGGTAGTGTTAGATGGACTGGTAGATTTACATAGACTTATGTGACTAACCAATTATAGCCAAATTTCAACAAATGCTTTTTTAAGCAGTATTTTAGCTGATTTTAACTAGATGAATAATAGCTGACCATTGTGGGCACCCCATTAGTGTTTAATGGCTAATCTCAACCCTCCAACTGCCACATTTGCTGGACAGTTTGGTCTGTGAAAGGACGTCTGAAAAATAACAGACTTCCTAGCCGGATGACCAGGTAATAAAACTTTGCTACGGTGGAAGGAGGGACTCAGAAAAACAAAGATTGTTGTGTTGATGGTATTTACAGACTGCATCATAAATGCCATGTTTTAATTGTGCCCATAATTCAACTGAAATCCGAAGCAATTAATTTGTTGCTGGAGCCATAACTCCTTTTTTTTTCTATTTTCCTAAAGTTGTTTACATGAATTTTTGTGTGTGCCTGCTTATAGAAGCTTCAAGTGTGCACTCTACTTCTCTAAATCATACCATTTAAAATTAGGTTTTGTGGTTTCCTTCGATAAAGTGACCTTGTAAAAATGTACTTAAGGCACTGTCAAACACAGTGATAACATGAGGAACTGTACTAGCTGGGAGCTAGAACAGGGGTGCTCTGTAAAAGGTGTCGGAAAGGAAAGTGTTTGAGCTGCCAGTAGCAATCAATCACACTCCACCTATCACCTTTCCATGGCATGGTAGAAAATGAAAAGAAGCATTTCATAGGTTTCTACGAATGGTGTGTACACTTTGTTTGCAGACAGCATTATACAAGAGGCCTGGTATGTTTCGAAACATTGCGAAACAATATTTTTAGTAAATGTAATTTTATGTCCGCGGTTCAAATGAATGTTGTTCTTGGTTTAAGCTTCATTTATTAGAAGAGGAAAACCGACAACTGCGGGAGAACATGAAGTGTCTTGAAAAACTAGCGAATGAGTCAAGGACACAGTGTAGAGAAAAAGAAGCCCAGACAGAGTGCCAGAAACAGAGAGAAAAAGAGCTGGTGTTTACTGTACAAAGGTAAGTGTAACCCAATGATGACAATGCTGCTTATTAACAGAGTTTGTATGGAATCCACAGAATAGATCCCCCACCTTAAAGATCAAATATAGGGGCGATAATGTTTATTTTAAAAAAACACACTTCTTTATTTTTATAAACATTAAAATGTTTTTGATCACATTATGATGTTACTGCAGTTTGTCCCTCAGACAACAGCATGTTTGAGCAGGAAGGCTCAGAAAGTAGTGGCAACACAATAAATGGTAAGGAAATGGTGGAACACAAGTAGGTCTTCTTTAGGGTCAAGGATCCTATGTATGTAGGCCATCCAGAACTGGGGTTTGGGTTTAAAATTTAGCAATTTTTATTGGGTCTGTAACACCTAGATGGGTGTTACAGACCCAAGCTTTCGCTAATATAGTGTTGATAGAATTCTCAGTATGAAATTAATAAGTATTAAAGGGTTTCTAAAACCTCAGCTCATTTGCATATATCTACTGCTAGCAAGCAGTAGATATATGTAAAAAGTAGGGGGGAAAAAACAAAACCGCTTTCACAGTGGTTTAAACTTACCTGCGTCTTCCCCGCGCGCACCCGTCCGAAAATGTGAAAATTCTCGGGCGGCCGCAAAGGATCTTGGGGCGCGCGCATGCGCAGTTCACATTTTCGGCCGGGAGACGAGGAGAGACACAAGGTAAGTCTATGGATGCGTGCACCCGCATGCAGACACCGTGGGACAGGAAGTGCCAGCAAGGACAGAGGAGTCAGCGCGGGATCGGAGACCCGCAGCAGCGCTGGAGAGAAGGCTGAAAACATCAGGAAAGAAGAAGATCGGATTAAGAGACATCATTTAAGGTAAGTGCTTTAATTAACGTTGAGGTGAGAGGGGAAAAGAATTGCCTTTAACTGCCTCCGGGCCGGCCGTAGTAGAAAAACGGCCAGCCCGGAGCTCTCTAGATCTGAGCAGGCGTCTTTAGACGTCCGCTCAGACACGCCCCCTTGCGGGTGTCTGAGCGGGAAATTGCCGTTTTTCAAAAACAGGCAGCGATGCCTGATACCATACAAGCGATCCGCCGGCTTCACAGATGTCACTTTAATTTTTTTTGCACTTTAATGGAAACTTATGTTAAGAAAAATGCAACGTCTTCCATTGCTGACCTCTCCTGAAATGTTAGCTGCTTGGCTGTATCCAGCTTAATCCTATACTTTGAGTCACTGACTAAAACACAAATTCACTGATCCATTTTGAATTCAGTTGGTGCGTGCTTGTCCTTGGTTAGTGACTCAGAAAGCATAAGGCCCCATGCACATTTGTGCACTGTGTTAACATTCATTTAAATGGATTGCCAACACAGCAGCACGGACAAAAAAAAACAGCACCTGCACTCTTTCCTGGCACATTTCACCACATTATGATGCATTGCTTTAGTGCATTGGGGTTCCATTTATAATGAATGGCGCCACCCACAACACACATGGTGGATAGTGGTAGCATGCATTGTGGTAACGTGTGGTATGAAGATGGCCATGAAGCCAGTGACAACCAGACAGCTAGCATTTGCAGTAGGAGGTGAACAATGACAGCCCATATATTTCCTTCAGAGCAGGTATCCATCAAAAAGAAGTGCGATAGCTAAGCACACTTTCAGGGTTATTCACCAAAGGGTGAAGAGTTTGGAGAAGGCAGGAGAAGTGAACAATCTAGGGCAACATAGCTGAACTGGAAAGTGAGCTGAATTGGAGAATGTTTCCAAATCAGCTATGTTGTCCTAGATTGTTCACTTCTCCTGTCTTCTCCAAACTCTTCTCCCTTTTGTGAATAACACCGTAAGATGCAGTTTCACTTCAGCAATGCTATTGCTTGGGTTTTCTGGGATTTAAACACCCAGGGTAGATTGCAGCCCCCAAGTTCTCTTTGTATTTGTTTAAGTCCCTTACTGAAGCATTTGTCCATGGCTGCATTATACCATTAAGGTTTGCACTCGCATCATTATTACGCACTGATCCCTTTCTGCTGTGCTTAATACTTGTAGACATTAAACCCATTAATGTCTTCTATTTCCTACCGTAGACTTAAAGTTTAATGGGGTGTGCCATGATCTTAATCAGGTTTTCAGGCAAACTATCTTTTCCTTGTTAACTTAATGTCACAGGAAGAACCACTGTGTTATAATAAATGTGTAGTTAGGCAATTAGCAGAATGAATTGCTAATATGCTGTTGCAGGGTTCTTATGTCTCACCTAACACTTTTCTAAAAGGATTATTTTACTCTCAAACAAAAAAATAAGTTTATGGGGATTATGCAGCAGGTCCAGTACCGCTTTTTCTACTTAGTGGGAATTGGGAGAGCTTTAGTGTTGCAAAAAAGATCCCAATACACCGATTGGAGGTAGGCTAATGACCCCACTCTGGTGTATTATTTCTTTATTTAAAGTGTATCCAAACCCAAAAACAAACATGTAATATATTGCAACTTACATGTCCTGAAATTAAGTGCCTGCATCAGTTTTCTTTTTTTCTTTATTTGCACCTGAAAATCCTGCAATTAACACACTTCCTGTCTCTGTGTGGCTGTGTTCACTCTTCCACTGTTTCTATGGAGGAAGCCATGGTTGTCACCCAGGCCAGACTATAATATAAACTGCTGCACTAGAAGGCTGCTAACCGCTGAGAATCAGCGGTTACCATTCAGTAATGGATGTCTAACTATCTAGAGATCCATTACTGAAAGGGTTAACCTTTTTCAGACACCCGATACCTTAATATCGGGTGTCTGAGAGTCACAGCAGAGCGGACACACATGCTGGCTTTTGCCGGCATTCTGACAGCTCGTATAGATCGAGAGAGATATCTCTCTCAAGCTATACTGGCTTTTTTTTTTTTTTTAATCTTGTAACTGTCAAGAATAGATACATAATGTAATGTAATAGACACATAACCACGGCTCCTAACGGCCTGCGCCCCACTGTGACGGCCATCCTCAACGCGATCCTGGACAAGGCCCCGGACTCCCCGCTGGAGATAGATCGTGTACACCGCGTGGGGAACCCCAGGTCAGACGGAGATGAGAGGCCCAGAGACGTCCTATGCCGCGTCCACTTTTTCGCGGAAAAAGAAACCATCATGCGCCGGGCCTGGCAGAAAGGCCCGCTTACCTTCGATGGCGCGGAAATCTCCATCCTGCCGGATCTGTCCCGCCGTACCCTCCACATGCGCAAGATCCTCCAGCCGCTACTCGCGGTGATCCGCAGAGCCGGAGCCCTATACACCTGGGGCTACCCGTTTTGCCTCAACGTCCGCAGGAACAACCGGACCTTCAGCCTCCGCCACCCGCTCCAATTGGCAGACATGTTCTCCTTCCTGGACGCCACCCCTGTGGAAATACTCACACCCGATGGCAATTCTTGGGATGGGTTTGCGACACAGGCATTAACCCTTGCTACATAGTTGTTGCTACCCACTGCTATCTCCCCCAACTGTCCATACTTGATGTATAGATTGACTTATTGACAACGTGTATGTGATGCATAATTGGACATCCCTGTTTTCTTTTTGTAACTAAAAAAACAAAAATACCTCTTTAAATAAAGAATTTACAAAAAAAAAAAAGTGTCAGTCATTTACAAACAGAAACCAAAAACAAGCTCAGTCATGAAGGGGTTAATCACCTAACCTCCAAAGAGATCATATTTAATTTTAACAACCTTGTTTCATAGTTCAGGTCTTCGAACCCCTTAATGAGTTTGGTTGCTCTCCGCTGGACTTTTTCCAGCTCAAGGACATCTTTTCTGAGTATCGGTGACCAAAACTGGACCGCATACTCCAGATGAGGCCGAACCAGTGATCTATAAAGCAGCAAAATTATAGACTTGTCCCTGCAATACATTCCCTTCTTAATGCAAGACAGAACTCTGCTTGCTTTATTTACAGCAGCCTGGCACTGTGAGCTGTTCCTCAATCTGCAGTCTATAATGACCCCCAAATCCTTCTCCGTTTCCGACGTCCCTAGTGGCACACCCATAAGTGTATAGTCCATTTGCCTATTTTTAACTCCAAAGTGCATTACCTTGCATTTATCGACGTTGAACTTCATCTGCCATACAGTTGCCCACTCCCCGAGTTTATCCAGGTCCTCCTGTAATGTTACAATGTCTAAATCCGTGTAAATCCTCCCAATTTTCATATCATCAGCAAACACTGTGACATGACTTCTCACTCCCTCCCCTATGTCATTAATAAACAGGTTAAAAAGCATGGGGCCCAGCACAGAACCCTGGGACACGCCACTTATGACTTCAGCCCAGTCTGAAAAGGTGCCATTTATCGATACTCTCTGGACACGTTCCTTTAGCCAGTTTTCTATCCACGTGCACACTATTTCATCTATGCCCATAGCCCTTAGCTTGTATTAACAATCGTTAATGTGGCACCTTATCAAATGCTTTGGAAAAGTACAGATATACTACGTCCACTGTCCTCCCTCCATCCAGATTCACGGCTTAAGGTACCTATAAGTCTAAGTTTATTCTGAATTTTAGCTTTTTTAAAGGTTTCTTTTACACTAACATTAGTAGACCAATGTATAAATCTTCTGCCCAGCCATTCCCACCAGTGGATGGAGCCGAGGAGTTTAGGAATTTCTTATGTTCCGCAGCTTCATCTAGCGGCCAGAATGCTGTTTGAACAGAATTCGCCCAGCTTATAGCTTGCATTTAATTGATTTTCTAAGACTTCTATAGATACAAATATTCATCCATAAGGTTTGGGATTTGTATAGGGCGATTAAGTCTGAAGAACCTCATTATGTTTGTGAACTTGAGCAAGTGTTCTGATGAGATGAAATGATATGAAATGCAATGGGCACTAACTAGTGCCTATCTAGTGCTTGCAGTTTTATTGCAGAAAGGAAACTGATGAGGATAATCAAGGCAAATGTGTTTCCCTCAATTCAGCAATGATTGCACATCTACCACTGCTGATGTCACGCCGTGATTTCCTGACATATAACTGAAGTGTAATAAAAACCGAGGTTTCCCTCCGAACACGCAGATTGCTCTTAGCAATACAAATGTTAATGAGATGATTGGAAAATTCTACTTAATACAGCCTTCTTCCTGCTTTGTTGATGTTGGTACATTCTGTGCTCTTTGGCTTTCTTCTTAGTCAGAGACCTTACAGAGGAGTATTCTCTACATCCGTCCATTGGACAAAAAATCATTTTGGCAAGCAAATCTATTTAAAGGGCTCAAATACTAGCTGTCTATGGAAGGATTAAGAAAACACACGGGCATAAATTCTGATGAGTTTCTGTAAAGAGTGATTGCAGGCTCTCCCCCCCCATATACCGTATTTAAAGGCTCAGGGCGAACAAGCTTAGACTGTATATAAAACCTACAGCTAACTTTTTTTTGCTCACTTTTGGTCTGTTAAGCATACCCTTGAGTAAAGTGTTTTTTTCTTTTCTGTTTGATAATTCTAGAGGCAAATGCCGTGTCATTGAAATCCAATGAGCTTGTAACTTTCAGTGCATGCTGCCTCTTCTGCAATGAAATCCCAAGTGGTCCAAGAGCAAGGGTAGGCAATTCCAGCCCTTCAGCTGTGCTTTAACTACAAATCCCAACATGCCTAGCCTCTGGGAGTCATGCCTGTGAATATCAAGTCTTGCAGTGCCTCACAGGAATTGTAGTTCCACAACAGCTGGAGGGCCGGAGTTGCCCACCCTTTTCCTAGAGTGATAGCGCTGCTCATTTCATAGATACAATACAGTATGAGTGTTGTCATCCTAGGACAGGAAGTGTGATACTGGCAGGATAAGGTGAAAAAAAAAGGAAAAGTAAAGCTCAGGCAGCTGCCACATCTAAAAACACATAACCTGTAATATATAACAGTTTTGTTCTTGGATTTTGATACCCTATAAGTAGCATGTGTAATAGCGCTTTTTGATTCTATATGTATTCAGTGTTTAGTATGGCACCCATCAGTGCCCCACTGAGCATTTTATTTTTACTACTACTTCTTTATAAATTGAGAATTGTTAAAGTTTTTTCTGATGTGAATGGGTAAGAAATATTTCCTTCTTTTGGCCTGTTCTTGTCAGACAACCTCATGCCAACCTGAAATGATCAATGATTCCAATTAACCACCAAACCTGAACTGAAATCTCTCATGGTCTGGCAGGATATGGGAACTTGCAAATACCATTTGTGAATGTTATAAATGGCTTCTTAATATAAGGTTACTGTTACCTGAAGGCCCTCCTTACCATCTTGTCTTGAATTGTATTGTGATTGTAATGTCTTCCTTATATTGTAAAGCGCTGCGCAAACTGTTGGCGCTATATAAATCCTGTATAATACTAATGTATGTTTTAACAGCTTACAGCAAAAAGTTCAAAAATGTTTAGAAGATGGAGTCCGAATTCCTATCTTGGATGCAAAACAACTCCAGGATGAAAATGAGCGACTTCAAGAGCAGAACGAACGTGCGAACAAGGTGAGGGAACTAGGGAAAAATGGCCTTATATCCAGAAATGCAGCCTTGTTCTTTTAAGGGTTCCTGTAGAAGGGTTTTGTCGTTGAACCCCGTCTTTTGCATCCGAATGCAACACAGTTCATACGTAAGTATTTAAATGCAAACAAGTAGCCTGCAATGCAAAAGCAAATCAATAGGGCTTGCTGCTTCCACGCGTGGACGATTGGCTGTCACTGGGACAAGAAAGCACATGCAGCAATAAAAACATTCACACACTTAAACCCTTGCATTTGTGTCTGTGTTGAAGAGACTTCCTATCGCTTTCTTGTCCTTAGAGAAAGTGAGGAGAAATCTCCCCAAAGCACTGACATTTTTCCACTCTACTCTATCCACAACAAAATAGCACTGGAGTTGCGCTTAAAGCAAGTCTAACGTGTATTTCCATTTTTTGCTGACAAATTTGAGAAAAAACCCCATGTGTTTGTTATTTGTTCCCACTCACGCATAACGAAAAATCTTTTTTTAATAACATTTCTTACCTTTTAGATGTTTTGTTGCAGCAGGCAACATGGGTGATTGCAGGTTTTGCTGAGCACCTTCACAGTGATCTGTCCTTATAGAAAGACTTGAAATTTGAGGATTGTGTTTCTGTCATTAACTTAATTACCATACACTGCAGAAGCCAGTGTTGTAATCCTTGAACATTTTGTTAGGACAGGCAGTATTCAAATCTACTATACAAATGATACTGGAACTAAGGGGCCAAGCCCAACCCCTGAAAAACAACCCCACACCATGGCAAGTACCGTTCTCCTGGCAACCGCCAAACCCAGACATGTCCATCGGATTGCCAGACAGAGAAGTGTGATTGGTCACTCCAGAGAACACGTCTCCACTTCTCTAGAGTCCAGAAGTGGCGTGCATCCGACGCTTTGCATTGCACTTGGTGATGTAAGGCTTGGATGCAGCTGCTCAGCCATGGAAACCCATTCCATGAAGCTCTCTACACATTGTTGTGCCAATCTGAAGGACACACAAAGTTTGGAGGGCTGTAGCTATTGACTCTGCAGACAGTTGGCGACTTCTGCGCACTGTGTGCTTCAGCATGTGCTGACCCCGCTCTGTCATTTTACGTGGCCTACCACTTCGTGGCTGAGTTGCTCCAAGTTGCTTCCACTTTGTTATAATACCGCTAACAGTTGAACGTGGAATATTTAGTAGCAAGGAAAGTACACGGATGGACTTATTGCACAGGTAGCAACCTATCACGGTGCCACACTTGAATTCACTGAGCTCCTGAGAGTGACCCATTCTTTCACAAGTGTTTGTAGAAGCGTCTGCATTGGAACACCTGAATCCAATGATTTGGAGGGGTGTCCCAATACTTTTGGCAATATAGTGTAAGTATTTTTTAATTTTTTGTATTAGCTTAGGCTACACGAATGGAAACATGTAACAAATATAAAATAGGGGTTATCCCAATTTGGCTGCTAAAGTGGAAATGCACTTTAAGTGTTACGATGTAGGAGAAGTGTTTGCAATTATTCACTGCCTAGTTTTCAATTAGAGCCATTGTGATTATAGCAAGAAAAATGGCTCCAGGGGTTGCAAAAGGCTTTCTGAAGCTGAGGCAAGCCTAGAATAAAATGTGGTTTATAAACATACCTTTTTTTGTCTTTTAGGTCATAGACAATCAACAAAACCAAATTGACAGCCTGACTGCAGAAATTCAGGTATGATCCAGTACTTGGCTTATTGGTACAGTGCTTATGAGGAGAGTACAAATACAGGAAATATTTGTTGTTAGCTAAGTAATTATAATTTTGGGGCTTAAAGCTATAAGCTTAAAAAAACCCTCTTAGAATGTGGAATACATCACTGTTTGCAGACTATGACGTTCATGCTGTGGTTTTTATCCTGTGGGACATTACATAAAGTGACCAACTAAAATTAACTATGATACTTTGAGCTCTAGTGACCTTTGTGTTAATGCTGAGCTTGAAGAACATGAATTTGTCTTCAGACTCCTGTAATCCACTATACAGCACCACTTAGATGGGACAAAAAAGGGGGAAGTGCTAGCTGCCAGGCAGGCTCTACTACATGCTCATGGGACACACTGATAGGAGGCGTAAGCAGAGGAATGACCTCAACAATGCTTTGCTTGTGTATCATGCTCCAGTCAGCATTATGAAAAAAACAAGCTTTGAGGTACTATACTGGAAGTTGTGCTATTCTGTCTGGCAGGGGTGCCTGGATCAGAACACTGACTGCACAGAATTAAAAATCCTTTAGCAGGAAAATAATATATAGTTGGTTGCTTCTAGGCTTCCCTTTTACACAAACTAATTCTCTTTTTAAAATTCTTTTTTAATGAGACACCTCAAATACAAACATTATTTATACAGCTCCCAAATAACAGGCTGATGCAGCACAGTGAGCAACAACAAACATCCCTGCAACATCTATGTCCAAAACGCAGCTCTATCATTTCCAAAATGTAAAAATCTTGTGCCTGTAGGTGGAAGAGTCAAGGTCTTTGTAACAATAAAATGTAAACTTCTGCATCCAAATCCAATGGCTAGTTTATTTTTTTTTTTTATTTCTTGGCTTCCAAAATGGGGATAATAAATAGGTGCATCGGGGTGTTCACTGCTGGTAGGGATAGTCTGTCATTCCAAGAGAGCAAGGGGGGTTGGGGGAGAGAGTTATAGAAGAACTATGGGGTAATGGTTTTTCCCCATAGTTCTCCTAAGGGTCACGGGAGGACATATACTAGCGTCCTCCCGTCACCCAAAGCTCAGTATATAGCGAGCTATAGCTTGCGATATACTGAGACCGCCGCATCTGGGACGGATCCCGACATTACTGTTCAGATCCACCCAGCTGCGTGAGTGACAGCTGGCTCTGCCTATCTAGAGGCAGAGCCAGCTGTACCTGCCCCCTTCCCAGTCCGTTCCGCCAGTCAGCGCTGGAGGAGCGGGGAGGGAGGGAATCCCTGCAGGGAGCCGTGAGTGACGGTCCCTGCCCTCTGCAGGGACATGATCGAGAAGTGAGCGAGCGACGGTATGTGTTCGCTCACTTCCCGATCTATTGAGCCGACCTGTGACAGTCTCATTGTCACACGTTGTTCTCAAACTATGAGGATGAGTGATTTTCACTCACCTCATAGTTCTCCTTTAAAGAGGAATATATGGGCTCCAGAGGGTGGAAGAAAGGGGAGACATTGGGTGCAGGGGCTGCATCAGGAGTGTGGTTACATGCTTGGAGCTTACAGGCTTAGGGGCTTGGAGGGGGGGAGACCTGTGGAAAGAGAATAGTCAGCAGGGCCTGGACACAAGCCCATTCATAGTATTTTTAGATCTGATTTGCAGATGACAGCCCTTGTATGTTCTCAAACAACTCCCCCACCTGACTTATCTGCTTAGATCTCAGCAAGCAGAATGGAAATTCAGTGAGGCGATACCCTCATCCCGCATCCCTCTTTGCAGTCATTGTGTGGTTATTTTATTGTCTTTTGCACAGTTTTAACCAGGCTTATCATGGGCACAAAACCAAGTTGGTGAAATTTTTCAATAAAAATAGCAAATAATGGAATAACTGTAATTGTATTACTAGTTTTACTTGTTTTCTCCAAAATACCACATAATAGCGAAAGGAAAATGCCTTATTGTGTGTTCTGGTCACTGAGGAGTAAACCATACTTGCTATAAACATAATAGTATGAAATCGAATTTGTTGATACAGCATTTTCTGTTTCTACTTTACAGGTTTTAATAGTTTTATGAAAATCAATATACTTCATAGTACGTGCTGAGTTTGAAAATCAAAGATTGGACAGGATGGCACTTGGGACTACCTGAACTCTGTAGATAGGCAGGCATGCATACACAGGCAGCAGAAAGGTTTTCTTTTAGCACTTGATTAATAACGAGAGGGATTTAGGTTTGTAGTTCATTATTCATTGTCGGGAGTCATTGCCTGAGGTGGAGCAAACTCCTATAATTACCTGCCAGTACACAGAGTTGTCCTTGCCTTTTGATTAACTAGGTATTTTGATTGTAAATCAGGCTTTGCATTTTTAAATATTTTATAGGGGGCAGTCACAGTATGTATTTTATCTGGAAATCAGGTTTTATATTTGTAAATATTTTACAGGGGGTATTTATGCTTATTCTTTAGCACACAGCTGGGATCCACTTAGACACTTGCTGCCTTTTGTCAGCATGGTAATAACATTGAAGCTACTTTTACAGTTGGTGGCATGTCTAACTGATGCTGACACCGTGCAGGAAGTTAGCTTAGAAATGCTAGGTAGAGACCTCGCTGCTACATGCTTTGGTTACACAGACCACATATTTAAAGTTCAGTTGAAGTGTCTGGAAAACCATATGTTCTCAGTGTTTTACAGTTATGTTTTTTTGTAAAGCAGCTCCAATGAGAGTAGAAAATCCTGCTGTATGCTGCAGAGAAGGATTGCTGCTCTCTGCATGGAAGCAGCGGTCCCTCTGCACTGCCTCATTTCCAACCCACACACAGTCACAGCCAGAGCCCAGCAATCAGCAGAAAGTATCAGCTTTACAGATTGCTGCACTCTAGCTGTGGCTCATCGGGGAACGTGTTGGAGTGCTGCTTCCACGCTGAGAACAGCAGTCCTTCTCTACAGCATAGTACAGGATTTTCTACTCTTACTGAGGCTGTTTTACACCGACTTTAAAGTATTTGCCCTGAAACTTTAGTTGGGCTTTAACCATTTCCCTGCCAGTGTTGTAAGGAATTCAGCAGAATAGGACAACCTAGAGCTGGCCAGGTCAGTATGCCTTACATCGGCAGCTTTCTCCCTTCTGGTTGCTTTAGAAGGGTTCCCTAGACTAGTTCCGTAAATAAAAGCGGTCATCAGCGGCTGTCAAGAATTAGGGAGGCTTATACTAAATACTTTTTGGAAGAATGCTACTTGTCTGTCTGCCATGTTGATTCCGTGGCTTCAGTGCTTACTGAGACAGTGACTGAGAATATGTATGCCCTAGATCTCCTACTTGTTCTGGGTCAGTGACTCAATAGGTACGGAAGCCAAACAATCATTATGACAGTCATGTAACTAGCATTTTCAGTAGGAGGTCATTAGTGGCATCTTGTTTTTTTCCATGATAGTCTTCCTTTTATCTGTTTAGAGTTTTGGCATCTTCCAAAAACTAAAATCTAATTCCTTTTATCACATCCTTTCAAAACACTGTTGCACTGTATAATTTGTATTGTCTAGATACATAGGGACATCCCCTTTTTAATCCTCTTGCCTTGCTGCTGATGGCAAAAAAAAAGATTCTCTCCTTTAAAGCCCATCTCCAGATCTGTAATCCTGAGACCCTCACGCACACACCTATTTAAAAAAAAGTGCTGCATTACTATAAGCCCAGGCTGGCGTGATGATGCACCCCCAGGGGGAGTGTCTGTGACAACCTTGTCTTATAGGAAGTGGTATGAATGATGCTGCCAATCATTCAAACCGGAAAAGGAATGACAGCGCCTGATTAAAGGTGAGTACTTATTATTTCAACTTTTTTTTTTTTTTCTACACCGGGGTTCTGTTTTAATGATTAGTAATGATTGGTCTTGACTTCTTTCCAAGTCAGGATTATGCCCTGCACTTTCCAGGTACCGTATATACTCGAGTATAAGCCGTCCCGAATATAAGCCGAGGTACCTAATTTTACCACTAAAAACTGGGAAAAAGTATTGACTCGAATATAAGCCGAGGGTGGGAAATGAGGCAGCTACTGGTAGATAGATACCAATAAAATTACATGAATATTTATTTAAAAGTAAAACAATAACCTAGCTCACTAAGTTCCACCCCCTTTCAGTCAAATTACAAATGCCAGCTCTAGGGGCTCTAGTGTTTGACATTTAAATGATTTTAGTCGATAGAAGTGCCCTCCGCACACCTTACAGCAGTCCCGGCCAACAAAAACGATGGTGCTTGTAGTAACTACCACGGATGGCACCGTGCAAAATGCAGAATGAAGAGACAGGTCATCAGCACTCAATGATTTGAATAAATATGTCCTTTTTTAATGGACAAAGATGTCACAATGATCAACAAAGCCGACGTTTCTGGGGCAGCGCAGGGTCCCTTCCTCAAGGCAGAACGTTGTGACATCTTTGTCCATTAAAAAGGACATATTTATTCAAATCATTGAGTGCTGGTGACCTGTCTCTTCATTCTGACATTTAAATGATGACGCTTTATCGGGACCTGGGAGAAGCCCATGATTAGTATGGGCCTGGGATTCAAGAGGCTCCACACGAACCCAGGGATTGATCAGGAGCCTGACACAGGCACCTGCAGACCAGCAATATTGTTACTTGGAGAGATTTTTGGACAGGTTAGGTTCACTTTAAATAAAGAATTGCACTTTTTAAAACCTCAAATGAAGGATTATTTTGGTGCGCATCATAACACATTCAAGCATGCAACCTGTGAATTCTGCATATACGTAATTGTGTTCATTAATCTTTTTTTTTTTTTATCTCTCCGTTCCCTATGCAGGCAGTAAGGGATAAGCTATTTCAGGAGAGATCGTGTGTACTGGAGCTAGAAAAGAAGATAGCAGAGCAAGCAGAATGTACAGAAAAACTACACACACTCTGTCTGGAAGTAAGTGACTGTGACCACCTATATCATTGACCAACTACCGCTATCAGAATAGAGCACATACAGGGAGTAACTAGAGTATTCATAACTGAAAAAAAATGTATTTAGAGGCAATTGGATGATTTTCATATTAGCAATTACTAGGGATGTCCCGATGCCACTTTTTCAGGCCCAAGTACAAGTGCATCCCCTCATGTACTTGCCGATACCAATTACCGATACTTTTTCAATAAACAGCCCTGAGCAGCTGTTTTGCAGGCTCATTGACACACAGTGTGAAAAACTGGCTATAGCTGCTCTCATTAGTAAACATTTCTTCTGCTCCCTCACATTGCTGCATCTTTCCTCTTCACATTACAGCGTTCGATGCGTTCTGCTGCCCATCTCCGTTAATTGACAGTGACACATAAGGTTTTCTAGGTAACAGCGCCTGTATTAAACCCTGCTGGGCAGCTCAGCTTCCAGACATTTTATTTTACTGACAGTGTAAAACACAAGTCTTGTCATGACAAAGTAATTCATGTACTGTACGTCTACAACAAATATAAAAAGCATTGCTGGCTTGCTGAGAATTTCTCCATACTGAGGGTCTAGCTTGTAAAATCAGTAATTTGAGAGTAATGTATTTTATTGCTGTGTTATTAAAGAGACTTTATCACCAGACCATTCATTCCAACAAATATGTTCCCATACGATTATATGTGTATTTAACATTTCAGGTATGTTATTTACCTAAGACCCTCCCTTGTGTAGACATCCAGAAACCCAGAGACTGCTGCTGTGCGCTACCATTTTGGATGTGATGTCAGCAGTCCCACACACCCTCTATAGTATTCCCCTTTACTAATTCCCAGCAGCTTTTAAAAGGTTATGTGGGGAAATGAAGGGAGGGGTGGAGGAGCTGGGCCAACAAAGAAAGTAACCAGACACTCCCACAAGAGGAGGGGGCTGTACTTTAGTGTAAATTTTGATCAGTATGTTAGGATGTGATTTAGATCCTAACCGTTGTATCTCTTACTAAGTATGCCTGTAATAATGGAGAGGGTGCCTACGTTATCTGCATCTGTTTAGATACTCAACATTGTTTGACCGTTGCAAGTAAAATCAGTGCTGGAATCTTTCTGGCTTTGAATCTGGTGCCATTTCCACCTGACACTGGTTCCACTGTTAACCCACAGTTCTTCCTAATCCTATTGTCACCCGGCCTCATCAAAACCTTAGGATATTGGGCCCATTCTGGTATATCATGACCTTAGGGTAGACTGTAGATACATCTGCCCAGCAGTCTACATAGATAGTCACTTATTGTATAATTTATCTTTGATCTCTTGCAGAATGAAAAGCTGAAAGAAGAGAACAGCTCCATACGTGAACAGCTAGAAGAGTTACTAGTGTCCCGACAACCATTGCCGGAGAAGATGCCAGTGGCTGGGCAGCTGTTTAAGGAAATGTCCCACTGTCTGTTTGACTTGAAAGCACTTTGCAGTATTCTAAATCAGCGAGCTCAGGGAAAGGAGCCCAATCTCTCTCTGCTATTGGGCATTTGCTGTAAGTGGTATTTATAATGGTCTACATTACTGTCATTGGGGACTTTCATAGTTATCCTGCTTTCTCATTTGAGCAATGAACCTTATGCTCAGCGGCCTTTTTTTTTTTTGTAGTAAGCTATATACAGTTTTTCCATGCCTGGCTTCTATAGCAAGTCCAAATTTTTATTAAAGAGATTACATTCAGCTATTTCTTTGGAGCAGGATTATACATAGGATACTATAGGCAAGCTTCTACTGCCTTGAATAAATGACAGTGTGAACATAATAGACAGACTGAGGACCTTTTTTTAAGTGTATTGACATACAATGCATTGGTATCTTTAAACCCTTTGTTAGGACTGTTCTGCACATTTAGTTTAAAACTGATCACAAAGATCTGACAGCACAGTACAGACTGGGTCATTTTTGGCAAACACAATTGCCCAGCCCCTTCCGAAACAACTAAAACTAAGTAGGAGTTTTGAGAGCAAATAAAAGGTGAGCAGTAATTTTTAACTATTTATGTGAATGGGAATAAAACAAGACGGATATAAAGTAGGTGTTCTCCCAATGTGGCTGCACTTTAAGGCAGAGCAGAGGTTTTATTCATGACCAAAGAAAGAGGATCTTTTTTGTAACTTAGAATAATAATGAGATTTTGTGATGCTGATGAATGCATTACTGATTATTGTGAAATGTGAATTTTAATCAAGCATCCGCTTTAATACCAGAGAGGGTTAGTTTGGAAAATTAAAAAATAAAAAGTCAGCTCTCGATCAGTAACAATTTCTACATACCTGTTTTACTTTCAATTTAATTAATAATAAACATGCTAGAATGTCAGCAAATAAATACTAAAATGTGACCAAATTAAATTGAACCTGCGGCCATTCAAGTTTGTTTGTATTCCTAACAAGCAGAAAATGTGTTTTTATAAACAAGCTTCACTGACCTATGTAGTTGAAGGCACTGTGAAGTCACTAATCCTGAAAGTTCACACGAGAGACCCTCTGGTTAGGTGGTAGTCAGATTCTTGGTAGTTTTCTGCTCTTCATCAGTGGCTTGGTAGCCTTCCACTGCAAATACAGAACATCTCCTATTTGTTCACATTAAAAGGCTGGAAGGTTGCCAAATCTGTGCTGGGAGAGAGAATAAAGTGTAATGAAGCTGCTAAGAATCCAAACAGAGTGCCTAGACAGTGCCTGCAGCCACCAAGGTCCATGAGGGCTTGTTTACTGCTTGTAAAGAATATGTAAATACTTGAATGTCCATATCCTGCCCACAGGTTCACTTTCAGCTATGACAGCAGATGTTTAATGTTGGTCTGCATGGTATCTCATCGAACATTACCTGGTTTCACATTGCATCTTTTGCTTTCCACAGCTGTTAACTCCTCCTCTGAGGAACTGGAAGCCAGCAGTCACAGCATTGAGGCCCTCACCCAGAAACTTTCTGAAGTACGACAGTTACGCAGAGACATTGACGACCTGAGAACTACATTGTCAGACTGCTATGCTCAGGATATGGGAGATAACTGCATCACCCAGTGACAGACTGACATCTTTCAATAAATGCTCATGTACTGTGGTCACTTGCATTTCAGTCTTGGAGCCATATGAATTTGGTGCACGTACTATGCACAGCACACCTGAGGTGCTTTCTGAGGAAACCCCTACACATTTCATCACCCTTTCAGCATGAAGTAACCCGCCATTGTCTGGATTTGTCTTTTATATCATTGCTATAACTCAACACTGGAGAAGAGTGTAGAGCACATGGCGTACCTTTTATGAAATACCCAGAAAAACACTTGTGGATGTAGATGGAAGCTTAAGAAGGCTCTCCTTCATTCTCCTTATACAGCTAGTGGAAATGTCTATGTAAAAAGCCACAACGTCTTGCAGTCTTAATGGCTTGTGTCAGTATCAATTGCCAAGGCCACATAAACTGCAGAAGTAGTCTTTTAATATATAAAGGAACAGCAGATTTCCCTTTTGTGTGTTCATCTTTCAGTGCCTGGAAAAGCATGGCAAGCCCATTTCTTTTCAGCACAATTAAAATGAACCATTATCCAAACTTTGTCATGACATAATGCACAGTCTATAATCATAGTATTCTGAGGGTTTAAAGAAACCCTGTCGTGCATGAAGCAGATGATTTGTTCTTTCACTCCAGCTGACAAAAGTGGAGATAAAGCTTTCCTGAATACTGGTTTTAGACACAAAATGGCTGCCTGCACTGCATATACCTGACTCGGCCTAAAGTAGTCATTCTGCCTGAATTGTTTTTACAGCTAGACCAGCATATCTCCAGCAATGATTTGTATACAGAAAATTTCACCAATTAATTGTATGGCACACCAAAGGCACATTTGGCATGTGCTTCAACAAATATGGCTGCACACAATGGGATGTACCTTCTCCCCTGGAAAATACATGTAGAAAACACTTTTAAAAGGTATGCAAAACAGGTTCCAAATTGGAAACCAGTGCAAATGGGTCCTAACACTGTAAAGGAGTATTATCATTTCTTGGCTCAAATTAAAAAATAAACACTCCCCTGCATGGTTTTATTAAAAAGGATACAATAGAATTTTTATTATGATTTTTAGAAAATCTTTAATTCGGTGGAAAAAAATACTTTTCCTACGTGTCCTTAAGGCGTGCACAGGTATAGAAAAATACATTTCTCTGTTGCTTATTGAAGTACATGGCTTTAATAGATCAAGGAAACCAGTGGGTAGTTGTCACCTGTAGAAGGACGCTAGGTGCAAAAAAAGTGAAAAAGTGTCTCCACCTGGTGCCTAATAACCTGCAAATGCCAGAGAGACTCAATTTATTGCCTAGTGCCCAAGAAGGAATCCAGTGTGGGCTGCATCGTTGAATTCTAGCTTTCACCACAAGGTTTTACAGGCACCTGTTTGATTCACCTATGATGTATGCTTTCTTATGTTGTAGGGAAGTGCCTCACTTATTGTTCTTTTAGTTGCCTGACCCTCAATTGGGTACTGATTACGGATGTGTCCCTGATTTCTTTTGATGGTTTTGTTGTTTTGCCTGCCCTTCAGTTGGCCACTGCTTATTGACATCCCACATTTGTTTGATCTGTTGATCACAAGTTGTCTCTCTCAATGAACAATATAGAAAATAGAATTTTTGTATGCAGCGTAAAATTCTTTTCTGGATTTATTGAAGCACAATGCTCCTTCCCCTCTGGTTGTGTGGGGCTGTTGTCCATGTTATAGTTTTTGGGGGGGGTTTTGTTTGTCTCTGTACTGCTAGCTACTAAGTGAGTCTCTCTGGCAGTTGTGTGCTGTTGGCCACTGGGTGGAGCTGCTTCCTACTGCTTTTTGTACCTGTCAGAGTCAGAGTTCTAAGAGAACAGTAGTTAAGATATGCAGACCTCTTCTCCATATGAACTAGTCCCTTCTATATTTGATTGATTTGTCCCTGCATTAGGTATGATAATCATGTCCAGTGATCACCCCAGTATAGTTCTCAACCACACACTAAGAGCCGTCTGGCAGGGATCTGTGTCGATGTAATCATTATCCTTGTATTCGGCACTCTAAACTGCATTCAGAAGTTCTTCTTGTGTTGTTGGTAGAGCTGATGAAACAGCAGGCTAGTTGAAAATTACAGGCCAGATTTCAGCTTCAAAGTAAAAAATTTTATTACATCTGAATTTCCACATTGAGTGAATGGTTTTCCTGTGAAATGTATGATCGGGAGAGGAATGGGGAAATGACTGCAATTTATTTCAAGAAAATTTAGCATATTTAAAGGCACTGCAGTGTAAAGTGGTTCAAGGTACTTGAGTTGATTGCACTTGTAAGGCAAAACTTTTGTCTCATGAGAATATTATACACAAGTGTCCCCTGTGCGCATGTAAGAGTGAACAGGATTTCCCATCCTCTATACTTATACAGTAATTACATAGCAATGCAGCTAACATGTATTTTTAGAAATGATAACACCATGTAGATTTAAAGCTATTTGGCTTGTAAAAGCAACTTCTATAGGCTCTAGACCACGCTGAGGATAGCTATTCTGCCTCTACATAGACAGCTACACAAATTGTCAATCAGTACACATTGTACTGTTGTAATCTTGGCATACTCTGCTCCATTTTGTACTACTGTGCTACCGTGCTGGCGGTATAACCTTGTGCATCAACAATTTAGCTTTGTATAGACAATCCTTTACCTGAGAAAGAAGCTTCAATTTCTGAAAACCTGTTTCTTAGTCACCAAGTCCATTTTTGGGACTGGTTACTTCATAAGGTGGAATGCAATATTAATGGGATAGTAAATGCTACTATATATACATACCACTTTAGCTATAAGTAGGACCCACTTTCACGCTTCAAATAGTGAAAGGGGTTAGATTGGGTATGAAAACATCGACTTAGACATGATTGTTGATAATCCTTATTTATAAATGTTACCATCAAAAGTTATATAGTAGGTTTAGCTGTACAATTCAGTGCATTTTATATATTTATAATTATTATTCGTTTCTATGTCACCCTACAAACATACTGGGGCTTGGAAAGTCTGCAATTAACTGTGTCATCTTAAGTTCACGTATCGGCTACTAATTCATTTCAGGAAACTGAAAGATGTGATTCCCTTTTGTAAAGTTAAGCCAAACAAATGGATTTTTAGTTTTAGTACCTTGTAGAATTGGTGGAAAGTAAAGAGCAGAACAGAATTCCCCATTCAGGACACTTAAAGTAGAACTGTGGGCAGGCTTTGATCATTCAAATAGTATACAGATTCTTAACGAGCAGAAAATGATCTTTAATACAAGCCATTACTGACTCCTGTAGCTTCAAGCACTGTGCAGCAATTCATCTTCAGAGCATAATACAGTTTCACTATTGTTTTCAGCAGTTAAAGTATACGAGAACACAGTACTATAGCAGCCAGTTGTAATTCAGCAGTCTCTTTGTATCTCCAATGAGGAGGAGTGTGGTCAGTTTGTATGTCCCAGATAGAAGAGGAACTGGCAGGATCACCAGGTATATATGGTACCAAATGAACGAGCTCAATTTAGCCTAAACAACATGACAAAACAGATACATATGCGAGATGAAATGTTTTGGGGTAACATACACTTTAAACCCACCTAACCTCACCCCACCTTGTATATTGGAATGTCCATAGTCTGGCCACAGTTTTACTTTTAACACACTGACCCTAGTGTCTTTTTCATAGTTTATGATGGCTGATTCGATCACTCTGCTATCAAGAACAGTAAGTCTAAGTGTAAAATATATTTATTTAAATACATGACTATTTATTATGTTTGTAGTCTAAGGATGGATTCATATTTTGCTTTGTAGTTTACTGAACTTAAAAATGTGTAATTAAGGCCATCCCTCAATAATATAGTGTATGACCAATGAGGTAGACTAGCCCTCCGTAATATAGTGTATGACCAGTCTGGTAGGCTAGCCCTCAATAGTATAGTGTCTGGTAGGCTAGACCTCAGTAATATAATGTATGACCATTCCGATAGACTAGCCCTCAATAATACATTGTATGACCAGTCTGGTAGGCTAGCCCTTAATAATACATTGTATGACCAGTCTGGTAGTCTAGCACTCAATAATACATTGTATGACCAGTCTGGTAGGCTAACCCTTAATAATACATTGTATGACCAGTCTGGTAGGCCAGCCCTCATTAATGTAGTGTATGACCAGTCTAGTAGTCTAGCCCTCAATAATATAATGTATGACTAGTCTGGTTCATTCTTTCATCCTCCAACTGTCCCTTTCTTGTGTAGATTTGTAAGTAATGGAACAATCCATTTCTTTCTTCAGACTCCTATTGAGTTTTAAGAGCAACCGTTCATTTGGTACCAATGCTTTTACTTCGAATGTAGTTTCTGTGTGCTGTTATGCAGCAGAAAACTTGTCATTGTAGGAAAATGTGAGTGAGAGTGAAATGATTTACTTTGAGAGGATTGACCATAAAACCCATGATCATTGCTCCATTAGCAATATAATTCGAATTGTGCCTTGTACTCATCTCCGTACATCAGATCTTTGTCCATTTCTTTCACATCGGCACCTCAAGGTAATTGATTTCCTTTACAGTTGATGATAAAATAACACATTTATAGGGGTAACTATTCTTGTACATATATGTATTGTTTTTTTTTTCTCTGTATGTAGCTTAATATAACATTTTTTTTTGGGGGGGGGGGGTGTTTTCTTATTTATTTCAGTTTTATCAGTATGAAGGTGATGCTGTGGGTCATTATTGTTATTTTAAAGCACAGCTTTCTTTGGGTGTGAGAATTTGAGATACTGAGTGAATCTTTGAAAATACCTCATGTAAATACAGTTGTCCTGTTATTAATAAGTAGAAGGAAGCCACTGGATGGTTGCCAAGTTATGCCTTTCACTTTTCAAAGGCGGTATTATTTTTTTGTAATTTAGATTTACAGCTAGAATTTTGAATGCCAAAGTTCTATTTATGAGAAAAATCTTACATTTTAGCAAGTACACCTTTTTCACTGGATTTTGTTTATGCTTTTTGAATATGTAACTGCAGAGTAAAATGCATTTTGTTACAAACTCAGTGTT